TTCGGAAATTTACATTATTAGTTAAAACTAGTAGCCCCAATCATACACTTGAATTAGTCTTCGGGCTTGTTTGTGACGTATATATCGTAGGAATTTTCATCAGAATATTCGTTTTCTTCCACAAAATTCGCTGACACGTTAAGCATTGAGATATTAATAATATCTTATAATATCCGTTTATGCATCCACGTTCCTATGAATCTTGTGGGAAGTGATAAATTCAACATTTTGAACAGATAAGATTTTTAACTTTGATTAGTCAGTCGTGGATGATGAATAATACACTTTTAAACACATATCACTGATTATTTATACTTTTTTTTTGGAATTATGATGTATTGAAATATGAGTTTTATGTTGTGGTTTTAGGGTGGAATATTACTTGGACCATCAGCACTCGGGAAAAGCTCAAAGTTTATTAACACAGTTTTCCCACCAAAGAGTCTAACGGTTTTAGACACACTTGCAAACTTAGGACTCATCTTCTTCCTATTCCTCGTTGGTCTCGAGCTCGATCCCAAATCCCTCAAGCGAACCGGAAAAAGGGCTCTCTCGATTGCTCTCGCCGGAATCACTCTCCCTTTTATATTAGGCATTGGAACTTCTTTTGCTCTCCGTAGTTCCATAGCTGATGGAGCCAGCAAAGCTCCTTTCCTTGTCTTCATGGGTGTTGCTCTCTCCATCACCGCTTTTCCCGTCTTGGCTCGAATACTCGCTGAGATCAAGCTTCTAACCACTGATATCGGAAAGATTGCTTTGTCGGCTGCTGCAGTCAATGACGTGGCTGCTTGGATTCTCCTTGCTCTCGCGGTGGCTCTCTCTGGAGAGGGGAGCTCTCCGCTGACATCTCTCTGGGTGTTTCTCTCGGGTTGCGGTTTCGTTCTGTTCTGTATCTTTGTTGTGCAACCGGGGATTAAGTTGATTGCTAAACGTTGTCCTGAAGGAGAACCAATAAATGAACTTTACGTGTGTTGCACGTTAGGTATTGTTCTTGCAGCTAGCTTCGTCACGGACTTGATTGGGATTCACGCGCTGTTCGGTGCGTTTGTGATTGGGGTTATTTTCCCTAAAGAAGGCAATTTCGCGAATGCTCTGGTTGAGAAAGTTGAGGATCTCGTGTCAGGTCTTTTCTTGCCGCTCTACTTCGTCTCAAGTGGTTTAAAGACGGATGTGGCGACGATACAAGGAGCTCAGTCTTGGGGACTCTTGGTTTTGGTTATATTTAATGCTTGTTTCGGTAAAATCGTCGGTACAGTCCTAGTTTCCCTTTACTGCAAAGTACCACTTGACCAGTCTTTAGCGCTTGGTTTCTTGATGAACACGAAAGGCCTTGTTGAGCTCATCGTCCTCAACATCGGTAAAGACAGAGGGGTAAGTCCATTAAATTCCAAATTGAAAATCAGGTTTTACAAAAAAATATTTGCCCGTTTACTAAATTTTTTTATGTGTTGTCACAGGTTCTAAACGATCAAGTTTTCGCTATAATGGTTCTAATGGCGATTTTCACCACGTTCATGACGACTCCTCTAGTTCTAGCGGTGTACAAACCAGGTAAATCTTTAACCAAAGGTGATTACAAGAACCGAACGGTCGAGGAGACGAACCGGTCAAACAAACCGCTCTGTCTCATGTTCTGTTTCCAGAGCATAATGAACATCCCCACGATCGTCAACCTCATAGAAGCATCCCGAGGCATAAACCGTAAAGAAAATCTATCAGTCTACGCGATGCATCTTATGGAGCTTTCGGAGAGATCATCGGCTATACTTATGGCACACAAGGTCCGAAGAAACGGCCTTCCTTTCTGGAACAAAGACAAAACAGGGAACAATAGTTCTTCTTCCGACATGGTTGTGGTTGCATTTGAAGCTTTCCGGCGACTTAGTCGTGTCTCAGTACGTCCCATGACGGCTATCTCACCAATGGCGACTATACATGAGGATATTTGCCAAAGCGCAGAACGCAAAAAAACCGCTATGGTGATTCTTCCGTTTCACAAGCACGTTAGGTTGGACAGAACGTGGGAGACGACTCGAAACGATTACCGTTGGATTAACAAGAAGGTTATGGAGGAATCTCCTTGTTCTGTTGCAATTCTGGTTGATCGTGGGCTTGGTGGTACGACTCGTGTAGCATCTAGTGATTTCTCGTTGGCTATAACGGTTTTGTTTTTCGGAGGGAATGATGATCGCGAGGCGTTAGCGTTTGCGGTGCGAATGGCGGAACATCCCGGGATAACCTTAACCGTTGTTCGGTTTATTCCTAGCGAGGAATTTAAACCGGAAAACGTGATGGTCGAGATAATCGAAGATCAGGTCGGTTCAGGGGAAACTAGATTGATTGATATTGAAGCTATAACCGAACTTAAAGCAAAGATAAAAGAACAAGAAAGTTCGCGTTCTAATTCGGATTCGGAATCTCAAATCGTTTACGAAGAGAAAATCGTGAAATGTTACGAGGAAGTTATCGAGGTTATTAATGAGTATTCTAGAAGTAACCTTTTCTTGGTGGGGAAGTCACCGGAAGGTTTGGTGGCGTCAGGGGTAAATTTGGAAAGAAGCGACACACCGGAGCTTGGACCGATCGGGAATTTATTAACGGCAAGCGAAAGTATTTCGTCGGTAGCGTCAGTGTTGGTGGTGCAACAGTACACATCAAGCCGTCCGGTCGTTGGAATTTCGAAGAACGTCACGATTGAAGAGTCGCTGGTTGAGGATTCAGAGAGTCCTTAATGAATTTTATCTTTGGGATTCCGAGACTTGCAAAGGTCAAAAGATTGGTTTGTATAATAACGTTTGTTTCATATTGTAAATAATAACTGCCTATATATAGTTTCTATATGCTAAAGGATCTCCGTGACATTTTCTTCTTTTAATTTACATGACCAACTAATAATATAACATCAATTGAACTACCAACGGCGAATAAAATGCTCTAATTTGATTATATATAGTTTTTTTTCACAGTTCCTGTTATATCGTCAAATTAGTTTTTAAGATGGAAATTTGGTTCAGAAAATTACCGAACTTCCATGGAATTTAATTGACGACTTTATGGAATGTTTTGTAGTTGACGACTATTTTGTTAGTGTGTTCTAGAGAAAGAAGAGAGACAAACCAATGGTAAATCATGCAGCAGAGCTCTCGACTTCTTCGATGCATCATGTTTCGGACTAAAACCAAGTATGTGTTTATTTTGTAACAAAAATGGCATTTTCCTTGAGTCCCAGATAACTATCAATTCTAAAAACCTAGTCTTAGTAGTAGTTCAAAACCAATTTCCGTACTAAGGAAAGAGGTTTTTTTTCTTTGATATCCTAATAATCTCTTGAAACTAAATTATAATTATCTTAAGAAAACTATAGAAACAATCTTTTTTTTTTTAATTCGCTTCAAAGTCTTAGAAACATGAGCATGCACGACACCGAGTGAAACCAAGACTCTACAGCCAAGTTCATGACATGGCGGTCTGGTTTGATATTCACCTCTGTTTTAACTTCTCCATTTTCAGAGGACTTGCTAGAAAGCTTTAGTTCAGATCATTTTATGAGGCTTTCGTTCAGTTTTTTTTTTTTTTTTTTTTTTTTTTTTCTAAATTTGAAGGATAAGATATTTGTGAAGTTTCTTACGTTGTCTCAGTTGTTTTAGTATACTTGGTTTAGAAGTTTGTTTACTTTTTTCTACATGGGTCTACTTTGAAATCAGTAAGGGACAAAAGAGGAGTTAGGCAACGAAACCCCTTTGAACTCTCTTTTTCCTTTTTAATCAAATCCTCTTGTTAGACATTTTGACGTCTGTGCCTTTACTCATGTGTTAGGAAGGAGTTAGTGACAAATATTATTGACTTATATACTAGTTTTAAAATTAATAAGAGAAAATAGGACGATTTTTTAAAAAAATATCGAAAAAGAGTCGTATTGAAACTTGAAAGAACAGGACGATTTCTTAAATGAATTAATTGACTATAATGTTTGGCACATAATTGTTTTTTTTATTTATATGTTAGTCTTACACTGAAAGTAAAGCGATAGAGGGAATAATTGTTCTAGTACAAGAGCATGCCCTTGTATAATTATAAAATTTATATACATAAAATACAATAACAATATTAGCTTCATATAAACATCTTCATGAATCATGATCATGTCGTCCTGACGATCTACACTTTTGGTTTTCTTTGCAAAACTCGTATCATATCAATCCAACGTCTTTATTCGCACATTGTTTCATCAACTGTGCATTGTATTTAAATCTGGAGTTGATTATTCAATATCCGTTAGTCCGTAATTATACGAATAAAGATGTAAATTGATATAAAACTCGCGACTTTTGTGTTTTGGTCAGCAATTCAAGTCTTTATTAGTGGGTTTCAAAAAAGAAAAATAAAAACTGAAAAAGTAAAAGTATTACGAGATAACCTAAATAGTAAATATGGTTTAGTTAACAAAAGTAATTTTTAGTCCATATTTCTCAATAACCTATTACGTGCGGGTTAACGCTTTTTTTTTTTTTTTTTGGAAAAATCTTTCGCATGTGTTTGTATTTGTGGATACTGTGTTACACAACCCAACCACAATACTATTGTAGATATTGCGTCGAGTTTCATTTTCATATCTTTTTAGTTTCCTTTAACGAAGAAACTGGTTGATTAGTATAAGCAATCTTAGAAGCAAAGCTAGAACGTGATATGGTTATTTATTTTACAAGTTACCTAATGTAAACCATACGGACCGCACATGAGTGATGGGCGTTCGATATTTTAAAGCAATATTTCCTAAAGTTTTTTAATAATTGGTTTGTTTTTCCATTTCTGCGTAACACTTTAGTTTTGTTTAAATTTATTTCAATATAATTAGTATATACTCAACTTGCTGTGTTTTATTAGCTAGCCTTCGACTTTATGCTTTTAGGTTGGACTCACCAAACCGTTTAATAGTATCAAATCATTGTACATATCTTTTCCCTGGAAAAAAATTAATTAAGCTCTATCAAGAAAGTGAAATTAAGTTGTAGCTTAGTTACCACCAACCCCGCTTTTGTCCTTCCGCATGATCGCAAAACCTTATTTTCACTCTAATTTATATCTTAAATAAAAATTGGCAAAAGATCAACAACCCATTTAGCTGTGTCCCTCAAACTTTGAAATTTCTTTCTATTATCCAAATAAATTCAATTTATTAAAACAAGTGGATAACACTTCTATATAAATGGGGTTAAGTCTTCTTCATTTTACACAATCCAGTACTCACTAGTCTCTAGCTAACAATGTCATCTCTAGTAGTTAAACAACTCTTCAAATCCCTCTTCTCATTCTTCTTATTAGTTTTACTCTTCTCCGATACCGTCCTATCGTTCCGAAAAACACTTGATCCGAAAAAACCCTGCAAACACTTCTCGTTCTATTTCCATGACATCCTCTACGATGGCGACAATGTAGCAAACGCAACCTCCGCCGCCATCGTGAGCCCTCCTGGACTAGGAAACTTCAAGTTTGGTAAGTTTGTAATTTTCGATGACCCCATAACAACGGACAAGAACTATCTCTCAAAACCCCTGGCTCGGGCACAAGGCTTCTATTTCTATGACATGAAGATGGACTTCAATGCGTGGTTTTGCTACACGTTGGTGTTTAACTCATCGGAATACAAGGGGACATTGAACATAATGGGTGCTGATTTGATGATGGAGCCAACAAGAGATCTATCGGTCGTCGGTGGGACTGGTGACTTCTTCATGGCTCGTGGGATCGCTACCTTTGTGACGGATATATTTCAAGGGGCTAAGTATTTCCGAGTTAAAATGGATATTAAGCTCTATGAATGTTACTAGATAATAATATGTTTTGTTTGAAAATTGGATGTTGACACAGAGATAATGTGTTACTAATAATAAGTGTTTTTGTTTTTTGACCTTTCTATTTGGTGTTGTCTTTTTGTTTATCTATAATTATGTGATTTATTTCAAGGGGATAAGTATTTCCGAATTAAGATGGTGTTGTCAATATGATAAAAGATTTCTCCCTCTGTCTTTTCAAATAATAATATAAAGTAACTTTTTTCTTTAACAAATACAGTTAAGGTTAGGGTTGGTTTAATTCTATTGCCAATTAATTTGGATCCTAAAGCGTTAACGGAGAGGATTCTAATCGTCGTCATATATGTTTCTTCTCCATTAGATCCCAAATACTTGCTGGCCCATGTTTATCAGGCCGATCGAAGCAGGACGAAGTAGAATAATGTATAGGCCCATTAATGATCCATCCTGGTTACGGGAGAAGTTTCGCTCCGAAACATTTTTTTTTTTTTTTTAACATTTTTGATCGATAAGGCCCGATGCATAACCAATCCCTATTACACGGGATAATGTGATTTACTGGAGTCGAACTCCGGTAGAGAAAACAGAGTAAAATGAACTTAACCACTTGACTAAAAGCACATTTCCTCCGAGACATTTTCTTTCTTGCCGAAGTCGTTGTTAGGTTTTTGACTTTTTTTTCCACTAGTCGGTTGAATTCGTTTATAATCCGATTTCATTTTATTTTTCTTTCTTTGGGCTTCGGGGCTTTGGGCTGTGAATTTTTAATGGAATTCAGTTATCTCTAAGGATTTCTCTCGATTTTATGGATTCATATGATTTTATTTTATTTTGTACAATGGCAAGGGTAGATTTGGTGTGGGGATATCAACGCTTTGAACAAAAATTGTATGGTTTTGTATGGATTCAAGATAAGTTAAAGCTTAAGAATCAAATGAAACATTGATTAGCTTTTGCATATAGTATACAATATCAAAGTTTGTACTTACGATGAAGATCAAACCATTTTGTTACTAATGTACTCTCTCCGTTTCAAAATATAAGACGTTTTATCTAAAAGCACGCTCATTAATAAGATTTATTTTTTAAAAGTTCAGCCAATCATAAAAGAGATTGCATAATAAAAATAATCATAAAATATTAAATTAATATATAATTTACATAGAAACTTGAAAACGATTTATATTTTGGAACAAAAAAGTTTCTCCAAAACGCCTTATATTTTAAAACGGAGATAGTATATTCCACGAAAATATAACCAATGAAGAGATTCTTAAAATATGGTAAAACATATTATTTCGACGTTAATATATGATTCGATTGTTCATAAAGCTTGCATTCGGTGTCGTAACTTGATTGGATTCATTTTATAAGATGAAATAATGTCAACAATGATCGGTGAATGGTCCATAGCAATAAAAAAAATATAAAGCAAAATAATACGAAACTATATAACTACGGAGTATATTCTAGACACAATTTGTCATCTTCCAATCCCAACAACATTCTTGAATAATTTTCTAAGATAAAGTATGGCCAATATATTTCCCTCTTTTACATTATTTTGGGTCTCGAAAATGTTATAGTTTAACCAAATCGTCTTGGTCCAATGGTAATAAAGAGAAAAATCCCCCCACCTAGATTCAAATAGTATTGGCCACCAAATTATTATAGTTTGACAGACCAAATCATAACGTAGTTCGGCCAATCATTTCAAACCAAATCCGAACTACTAATGCATCACCATGTTATGAAATGGATCTCATTCTTTTATATAAAAAATTATTAAATTCAAATTCCATAGAAAATCTAAAAAAATGATATGAAAATTTCTACAAATATCAGTTAGTAGAAAATCTCGTAGGAAGCAGTGTATGAAGGCGGATTTTTTTTTTTTTTTGTTTTAATCAATTTCCTACCAAAATTTTAATATGTCAATATATATGCTTTCACGATTAATGTGTGTGGGGCATAATTATCTTCTAAAGGATGTTGTGGCAACTACCCATATTAATAACGTGGTGGTCGAAAATCAGCCACCAATTACAATACACAATTCTATGACGACCCATCAGTGCTCATTAAATAGTGCGTAGGTTAAAAAAGATGAAGAAAAGAAGATTCTAGCATGCACACTATCAAATGATTAAAAAACGGTAGAAACCATGTTTTTAACCGTCACGTTCATTATATAAACCAAGGCGACGACAAGTGTTATCATCAACCAAAACAAAACATACAAAAACAAGTGGAAGCTTTAAAACGAAAGAAAGAGAGAGAGAGAGAGAGCAAGAAATGGCGACGTCGGGAACGTACGTGACGGAGGTTCCGTTAAAAGGATCAGCCGAGAAACATTACAAGAGGTGGAAGAACGAGAACCATGTATTCCCTGACGCCATCGGCCACCACATCCAAGATGTCATTGTTCACGAAGGCGAACATGACTCTCACGGCTCTATCAGGAGTTGGAACTACACTTGGGGTATACAATTACTTATACTTTCTCTCTCTATATATATCTATTATTTAACAGTTTATACACACACACACTGACACACACAATAATGGTGTATGTGTGAATCTAGGGTTTTGACCTTTTGGTAGTCTATTGGCAAAATGCCAAAGTCGTCTAAGGTTAATGCATGTTACAAAAAGACAAAATAATAATAATAATAATACTACATAGTTGTACCATATTTCAGAAGTAGCTCAAGAATACATCTAAATATATTCATAATATATAGGTCTTGATGTCTCTTGACCATTTCAGTTTTCATATTTTGCATTTATGCTTACATAAGAAAACGCAGATTTTCTAAAAGTAAAGTATTTTTCACTTGTTTAATGAAGAATATTTTGAAAAAATGTGTAAACGCAAACACATGATTGTGTTCGCGTACATTAAACACGAAAAACAGCGCAAAAAACAAAACAAACAATCGAGTTCATATAGTCAACATATAATCTAGATTGGTTTGGTCGCTAGTTTTTTTTTTTGTTTTTCTATGGCATGATTGGTTTGGTCTTGGTGTAGTTAAAAAACGTATTATTGTGAATATCTCTCTATAGATTTAGATTTTAACCAATAAACATGTGTGTAAAGATGGAAAGGAGGAGGTGTTCAAGGAGAGAAGAGAGATAGATGATGAGAATAAAACATTGACATTAAGAGGACTTGAGGGTCACGTGATGGAGCAGCTCAAAGTGTATGACGTCATCTACCAATTCATTCCCAAATCTGAGGATAGCTGCGTCTGCAAAATCACTTTAATATGGGAGAAGCGCAACGATGAGTCCCCCGAACCAAGCGGCTACATGAAATTCGTCAAGAGCTTGGTTGCTGACATGGAAGAACACGTCATCAAAACTTAATCATCATTCCCACGGTCACAGTCACCATCAATCCATCATCATCACCATCTTCATCATCATCATCACTATCTCGATTTATTACTTAAGGTGTTTTTCAGTATAATAAATGGGGTCTTGTGGAGTTTCATCATTTCTATGTGTTACCGTTTGGTTATGTAAGATGCTTTGATATATTGTTATGCTCATGATCATATATCAGGTTCGATATAGTGATTCTTAAGAATAATTTACTACACGTTTCAGTGTTTATTATATTTGCAATTTTCACATATATGGATTAGTAAACGTCTACTGGTATTAGGTAACGATGTAGTATGTATGGATTAGGCAAAATTCTGAACTACGTATATATTATGGTCACACTCACATATTATACATCTCATTTTCACCTCAATTGGACTGTTTTCACCCTACTAATCTTGATGACGTACATAAATAGACCGCAAAAATATCATTGCGATAGATTCTGTTTTTACAAATTGCACAAGATTCTAGAAAAATATGTCGACTTGATAATTTTCAATTTTCTTTACATTGTAGGTCGATTTTTTGTCAAAACAAAGGCCTTCGCCCTTCGTATTAAAAAATGACCAGTGCATCATTTATGCAAAATCTTTGTTTTTTTCTAAAAGAACCATAAAAACGACATCTATAAATAGTAAAATATTTATTCTATACATGTTTATTAAACATAAAATTAAAAAGTTTTCACTTCATATACCAAGTAAGTACCCGCTGATCTAGTAAAGATTTTGTTGTAAATGTGCCTGATTGTAAAACTTTGAGTTTACGACCATAAGTAGATCATCCAGAAATCGGACTTTCCATGCAGCTACACCATTATTAAATTGTAACGTATATATGCGTTCAATGATTGATGTTACAAAATTCCTGGCCCATGCAGATGATTTTATTTGTTTACGAAAAATGCAACTACTCTGATGCTGTCGAGATTTATTATTGCTTGCTTCTCACCGACTTCAAATCACTCGACCCCACCAATCCGATACGGCGAATATGTGTCTCATGAGTCACGACCTGATCCTATCAAATTTGGAATCCCGAAATGAAAAATAAAAGAGTGTCTCTTTCAACTAGTAAAAACCACTAGAGTGTAAGCTTATTTGATGTTAGGAATAGATCCATCTAGATAGAGATTATAAGGGAGCATGATTAATGTCCCATATAAGTATTATCAACGGCTGATTTCGAGTAGTCTATGAGTTTAGAACACTTTTTAAAGTTAGTTTCTTGTAGTTTAAAAACAGTAATTTTTTCGCAAGAGATACAGTAAATTAGGGTTCGTTTATCCGATTCCAATTCTAGGCTAAGTAATTTGGATACTAATTAAAGCGTTAACAGAGAAGATTTGCATCGTCATATGTATTGAAAGACCCCAAGTTCTTCTTGGCCCATTTGTATTGAAAGCCAATTGTATGGACCATTAATGATCCATCCTGGTTACTAAAGACTAAAGAGTAAAGAGTGAGTAAACTGCTCAACTATGGGAAAACTAAGGAAACTCATCACTCATCAGTCCCATAAGTTTATTATATTCTCTTTTTAGTAGGATGGGTGTTGAGTTCATTTTATTAGTAATAATTTTTGTTAGAGCTTTTTTTCTATGTAACGTACTCTGAGATCAAATGAGATTGGCTACTTCAGTTTTTCCTTGAACATTACGTTGTGGAAGCGACAATACTATTAAGGATTTATCATTGATTTTCTTGCACAGTATCCCAGGGCCAAGAACTTTGGAAGAGAAATACATATGTTCGGAGTTTTTATTTCAATGTGTATCTCTCTTTCATTCTCTTTGTTTGCTTTTTTTCAGA